CCCCCCGCCTGCCGGCACCACGTGGTTCCCAGCTGCAGCCCTGAGTAACCAGGGCAGTCTCTGCCTTTGGTTTGGGAAGTGTGTGGGAGGAAGGAATTGCAAAAAAATAGCAGTTGCTACAGTGGCTTCTGGATGCACTACCACCATATGCCTGGCTGTATACCACAAAAACTCCTACCCAACCTTGGGCCTTAGTCTGCTGTTAGCCTCCCAGCCCCTTTACTTGCTGTCTCCAAGCAACACATGCTCATGGTCCATCATCAGCATGCAACTCCCTGCAGACCTCTTTTCCCTTCTACAGCCAGACGAGAGCAGGCTGGGGCCTGTGGCCGCTGAAGGCTCAGGCCGGTGACAGCTCCAGGCTCTTTCTGGTGCTCGGGGTTCAGGGCATGGTGTAACCCAGTGGCTGCAGGCAGCTGGCATCAGCTGCTCCCAGGGCTGATGCAGCAGGGGCTGTGGTGAGTGGGGAGAAGTGGAGCAGCAGGGTGAATGGGGAGAAGTGGGGTGAGTGGGGCTGCTACCCACCCTGAGCTTAGTGCTGCCCCGCTGCAGCCCTGGGAATGGGAGACACCGCCTACTTGCAGCTACTGGGCCACGCCACACCCCTCTCCCCGCCCCTTCCCTAGCCCCAGCCTCACTCCTTCTCACCCTCACTGCCCTGGGAACACATCCCTATCTGTTTCATTGTAAACTGGGTCTGCTTTATGCAAATTTGATTTATGTGTCATTCCCTGGGAACGCATATACCACATAAATTGAGGGAAACCTGTACTCTAGTCAGTAAAGCAATACTGTTGATAATGATAGGAGAAACAGGGCTGAAGAGAACTTGGGAAACTCTCTATTCCTACCTCTTGCTTTAGGCAGGATCATCCCTGCCTAAATCATCCCAGACAAATATTTGAATGTATTTAAGTGGAAGTTAAGTGATGATGGAGATTCTACACCCCTTCTAGGGTAATCTGTTTCACCTCTTTCAGAGTTAGAAAGTTCTTCCTAATATGCAACATATATCTCCTGTGATTTCAGCCTGTTACTTTTTGTCCTGTCTCCTGTAGATCCAAAACTGTAATAAGTATCTGCTTCAGAATAATACTCTTGAAATAGAAAAAGGGTTATCAAATCCCCCCTGCCCCCACGAGTCATGTTTTTCAGTTCAAATAATCCCAGTTCTTTCCACAAAGGTTTAGTTTTCTAGTTTTTTTGTAATTTGTGTTGCTCTCCTCTGGAAGATTTCCAATTTGTCCATATCTTCCTTGAAGTGTAATGCCCAAAACTGGACCCAGTACTCCAGTTCACCACTGCTAAACAGAGCTAAAGAATAATTTTCCATAAATTGCTTATCACACTCCCACTGATGCATCCCTGTATTCTATTACAGTTGTGGTGTGTTTTTTTTTCTTTGCAATAATATTACACAATTGACTCTTTCAGGATGTTATCTAGTAAAGCCCCCTGTTTAAAACCCCTTGGTCCTCTTTTTTCCCTGTTTTAGAGATGGGCACTAGAAGTGTTTTTTGTTTATTTTATATGCTGCCCTTGCCAAGAAACCTTGGGGCAGTTTACAATAAGGGAACAAAGTAAATTATAAAACAGGAAAATGAACAAGAGAATAAAATAACTTAAAAGGCAGCCCCCCACCTTTTTTTTACTTAATTTTTGTAACTTCACGAGTTATCAAAGATAATATCCAGTGGTTCTGCAATTACTTGAGCCAATTCCTTGAATACCCGTCTGAATCTCAGCAAGTCTGCTTATTTGAAAACATCTAGCTTATCTAAATAAGCAGTAACTTGTTCTTTTCCTTACTCTAGGCTGTGAGTCTACTCCTGCCCCCACTCATTACTATGCTTTATCAACTGACAGTTGATCATTTTTTTGTGAAGACTGAAGTAAATATATATGAACTCTTCCCATTCAGTAAAGATCCTATGCTTTCCTCAGTCTTCCCCTTTACTTCTAATAAGAACATTTTTACTGCTTGTTTTATGTCCTTTGCCAACTATATCCTGTTTGTGCCTTAGTCCTCCTGATTTTTGTCTGTACATGCTCACACTACACTCTTGTACCCATCATTAGTAACATGACCAAGTTTCCATGTTTTGTAGATTCTGTTTTTTAAGTCCTTGAGGAACTCATTTAGCTAAGTAGGTCTTCATTACTATACTTCCATGCTCTTGTGCCCTGAATGTTGTCTCTTTAAGAAACAATTAACTTCCCTGGACTCCTTTTTCCTTTTGGATTTGTCTGCCATATGATCTTGCCTACCAGTTCCCCAAGTTTGTTAGTCTGCTTTTTTGAAGTCCAGTGTTTGTGGGTTTCTTTTATTCTATTCTTCCTTCTTATGGATCATGAACTTCATTGTTTCATGATCACAATCACTGAAATTGCGTTTCTATCTTAGATTCTTATCCATACCTCCCTATTAATAGTCAGAAAGTCAAAAGCAGCCTTCACTATGTGTACCAAGGACCTGACCCCAACACTATAAAAGAAGTTGTTGATCTGCTGTGTTACCCTCTAGCAGACACCATGGTAATACGTACAACATACACCTTTTTCCCCCCAAAATTGGGGTGCATATGTTAGGCAGGGAAGCTGTTTTCTTTACTGGAAGAGAAGTACACCTGGACACAGGAGATGCCATGAAACTGCTAAGATGACTGCCACTTGCCCAGCACAGCAAGCTAAAAGGGTGGAATCATATGCTAACCCTCTCACAGCCATAACTATTAGCTGAGCATTATAGCTTGCACCTGAAAGCAACAAATAGCTGCTGGTAGTATCCTGATGAGGCTTGTGATGTGGAAACAATATTTTATTTACAGGAACTTGTATAAAGAACTACTTACAGTAAAAAACTAATAGTCTTGCTACTGTCCTTTCAAGGGGCTGGGGCCTAACCTTGTGTGACAGAGTAAGTCCTCCCGGGTACATAGTGTCCAGGAAGTGTGGCACCCCAGGAGACAGTCTGGGTGGGGTAGCAGGCAGCAGGAATTACCTGGCACACCAAGAAGCGACACAGTTGGCCATGAGTCTGAAAAAAACCCTTTTTTTCTATATTCAGGCTTCCAAAAACAAGATGCATGTTTTATTTGAGGGTATGTTGTATGCAAGAAATGTGGTTGATTACTAGCTCAAGTCAAATTAATGATGCAAGGTAATCATATTCAATAAAAGTTAGTTCTGAATTTGGAATGAAGCAGGATGAGGCACTCATTACCTGAAATATTTCAAGTGCCAAAGTAACTTTCCCTCAAGAATTCTAGAGACCAAGTGTATCTCTTGCTTATGTACATTTTTAATAAGTTTTGTAATGATGGACAAAACCCAAAGACTAGAAGAGGGTAAATGTTGTGTCCTAATACACACAAGACAAGCAAAATCAACTGGGTAACTATAGGCTGCTTGGTCTTGCAGCAGTTCTGAGCAAGGTCAGCTATGGGATTTGGTTACTAATTGATTATTCATTAAGTTTTCAATAATAGGTTAGACTGGGGATTGGCAATCTACAGCTCATGGGCTGGATCTATCCTGTGTAGCCATTTTATCTGGCCCATGGCGGTGGGGGCTTTGTAGGTGGTTGGCTGTGGTGTGGTGTGGTGTGGCAGGGTGGAGAGGGGAGGGGAGGGGAGGGG